TGAAGTCCTAAAGGCCTATTACACAAAAACTAAATAGGAGTCGACACCCTAATTACATCATAATTAAAAAAATTTTCTAAGCTAATCCACTCAAGACAGCAACTATTCCACTTCTAGTTTATGAAGCAAGCTCTCTTTGACTAAATATTCTATACTTACATTCCCTTTTATCCTTGGCTAACTAGATTGCAGATTCTCACTTGGTACTACCTCCTTTCTCCCTCTATTTTCACTCTACCTTTTCCTTTTCTTCTTCCTCTTTCAAACCGCGATCTGGACCAGATTTGACTCTTTTGTTCCTCCTTTTTCAGATTAGTGATTTGGACCAAATTCAATTGAATTTGATTCAAATCAGATAGGGGAAAGGGTGAGGGTTGCGAGGAATAGGAGGAAGAGAAGGGTATGGGTAGGGCGGAGGAGAAAGAGAGGGAATGGTGGGGGAATGGGGAAGGAGGAGAGGCAGAGGTGTCGAGAAGAAAGGGAGGAGAAGAGAGAAAAGGGAGCAAAGAGAAAAAAAAGAGAAGGAGAGGTTGTATCGGGTCCAATGAGGTGCTGGAAGGAAATCATGAATGTCGGTGGTTGGCAATGGCTGGAGTAGGGATTGAATGAGGAAGGAAGAAGAAGAGGAAAGAAGGGGGAAAAAGAAATGGAAAAGAAAAGAAAAATAAAAAAAATCAGCAACACATAAGTTGCACGAGATTGTAATACATAAGTTGCACGGGATAGCAGCTAAACTAAACCTACCACATCTCTACTAGAGGCCTCAATACATTCCCGTCTACTTTACTCACAGTACCACTACTCTGATCAACACTAGTGCCAGGAATTAAGGTGGGTTACTACAAGTTCCTTTTCAACAAAATTCATTCCTGAATTGTGCATCCCGCAGTAGCTCCAATAATCTACCCCAATACCAAGCAAATGAAGGGCTTTGTTTCAAGACAAAGCCAAATGCAACTGCAATTGTTACCCCTCTGGTAGTACAAATACTGGTGTAACATCAATCATGAATAACGATAACAAAATTGTTAATGACAATGGAGATGAGGTAGTCAAAAGTAAGGAAGGAACTATGGAAGAAGTGTGTAATAATCCGAATATCAATTTGCTAGAGATAGATGACTCTTTCATTTGTGTTAAAGCTCAAGCTACTTCCCTCTTTCAAGTTTCTATGAGTGATCCAGGGATCTTTTATGGTAACTGCGAGAATTTTAAAGGATGAGTTGGAATCAACTACCCTTGGAACTGAAGTGCATGGAATACTAAGTAGGCTTTAATATAATGTAACATAGTGATATTTATCACATTATTTACCATGTATGTATATAATTAATTATACGGTGAGTAAACATGTTGTGCCATATTAATTGCAGCTCACTAGTAGTTAGCTGTCTTCATATATTTAGAAATATTATTATTGTCCGTGTATTTTTAAAAAGTATAGGGAGAGAAAGAGAGAAGATATAAGTATGTATATGCTTGTTCGTTTAATATATTTGTTTCTTGTCTATGTGTTTATTGTTATTAACAACAATAAAAATGAGGCAGTCAAAAGGGAGGAAGAAAATATGGAAGGAGTGTGGAATAACCTGAATGCTAATTTGCTAAAGACAGATGACTCTTCTATTTGGACTGAAACTCAAGTTACTTCCCTTTTTCAGACTACTATGAATGATCCAGTGATCTTCGATGGCAACTTTAAAGATAGCAAAGGTTGGGATAGAATCTACTACCCTTGGTACTAAACTGCATGGATTACTAAATAGGCTTTAATATGATATATAGCATATTGTTGTACTATGTGGCATAATTAATTATAATGTAAATAAACAAGTAGTGCTATACTAATGGTGGGTTTGCTACCTGCCATGTTCATATAATTGAAAATATTATTATTGTCCATATATTTTTATTGAGAAAAGGAGAGAAAGAGAAGCATATCTGTATATATATATATATATATATGCATGTCTGTTTAATATATTTGCTTCTTGTCGATGTGTTTATTTCTATTTTGCTTGCTTGTCTTGTATGTAGGTTTATTTATTTATATATTTTTGCGTACATTGGAGGTCTAAAGTCCCATTACACCAAAACTAAGCAGAAGTCAACACCCTAATTATATCATAATTAAAAACTTTTCCTGAGCTGATGTATTCAAGACGGCAACTATTCCCCTCCTGGTTTCTAAAGCAAGCTCTCCTTGGTTAAATATTATGCACTCACATTGTCTTTTATCCTTGGATAACTAGATTGCAGATTCTCACTTTGCACTGCCTCCTCTCTCTCTCTACCTTTTGTCCTTCCTCATTCAAGCTGCAATCTGGACCAAATCTAACTCCTCTATTCCTCCTTTTATAGATTTGTGATTTGGACCAGATTGAAATGAATTTGGTTCAAATCAAATAGGGGAAGGGATGGTATTTGCGAGGGATGGGAGGAAGAGAAGGGGAAGGGTTGGGCTGAGGAGAAGGAGAGGGGATGGTAGGGGAATAGAGAAGGAGGAGGTGGTAGAGGGGAGTGGAGGAGGAAAGGAGGAGAAGAGGAAAGAGGGAGCAAAGTGGAAAAAAAAAAAAAAGAAAGAGAGGTTGCATCGGGTCCAAGGAGGTGCTGGCAGGAAGTCACGAAAGCCGGTGACCAGAAGTTGTTGGAGTAGGGATTGAAGGGGTAGGAAGAAGTAGAGGAAAGAAGGGGAAAAAATAAAAGGAAAAGAAAGAAAAAAAAAATTAGCAACACATAAGTTGCACGAGACAACCGCTATGAATGATCCAGGGATCCTTGATGGCAATTTCGAAGATAGCAAAGGTTGGGATAGAATCTACTACCCTTGGTACTAAACTTCATGAAATACCAAATTAGTTTTAGTATAATATATAGCATATTATTATACTTTGTATACATAATTAATTATAAAGTTTTTTCAACTATTTATGGGTAAAATAATTATTTTTAAATACTCTATTTACTTAAAATATTTCAACAAATAATGTGAGAAAATATTTATACGTGTGCACGACAAAAGAAGACATTTTGCATAAACATTTTATGAAGAGTGCAAAAAACTAAGCAAGACTATCTTCATTATTGTGATAAGAATGATAAGTGTTTATTTTGTATATTTTAGTGTATTTATAGCTTAATTTTGGTGTGTTTTAATTAGTTTTATAGTTAATTAATTAGATTTCTAGTGAAGTTTGCATTTTATGGTTTAACTCTGAAAAATTGCATTTCTATGAATTTAAGTGATTAAAATTTCACGTTTTGTTGGATTTAATGATTCAATCATTAATTGATGTGAAGTGAGAATATATTTGGATGATTCTTGATGGTTTGAAATGATTTAAAGTGAATATGAAGTGCAATATATTCAAAAGATGAAATGCAATCAAGTTTAAAAGAAGGAAATTTCAACAGTTTTCACACCTTCTGTTATTTTGGCTATAACCTATGTTACAAGCTTTGGATTGAAATGATTCTTAAACCATTTTGAAACTAATACATAGACGTACATTTTGTATAAAGTATTGAAATCCCATTCAAGTATTCTCAGGGTCAAAAGGTTGAAATACAGTCGTGCATTTATGCTATCAAAATCATGGACTCACTCTTCTTCAACATCTAAATTAGATTCTGGATCCCTGTCAACCCTTGGCTCTTTGGTCTAACACCAACTAAATCCCTTGTCAAACCCATGACGCACCTGGTTCAACACCAACTAAACTCCTTAGCATTTCAGTCCATCACTAAGAAGAGAATTTTCACCGGTCCAACTCCGAAAAGGATCCACTTACCCATGAGTAGTCCAGTCTCGCAACTTGAAACTCTAATACCACTTGTTAGAGGAGAAACATCTCGAGACAGTCCACCAAAAAACCTAATGTGTAAGTTAGGAACTCAATTCTAATCCAAAATTTAAGCTATTAAATCTCAAATCCTTACTTACATATTAACCGATCTTTCTTCGTCTCTCGAACCAATATGAGACATAGTCTTTTTACTCATGATCCTAATACCATTGTGATTTAATACTAGTTCATGAAAGTATTAAATCGAGGGAGTTAGCCCAATAATATAAGGTTACATCTTTGTGGTTTTGATGGTTTGTTTCATGTAATTTCATAGAATTTAACGAATATATAGCTAGTTTCATATCACATTAATAGGAATGGGATAGTTATAGGTACAGTTAATACATCAGTGAAAGCATGTATCACATATATTTGGAAATTACGTTATAACCAACCAAAATAATGAATTCAATTGGTTATTTCATTTGCATAATTAGGTAGTAATTCCATAACACTAAGCATATTTGCATGTCAATTATGCATGCCAATTTTTACTAATTGTGTTGCATGTTGGCAGTGTAGATCTATTTGTTTTATTTGTAATAATCTAAATAATAGAGAAGCTTGAATAACACCAGTAGTTGACAATATTTCTTGTGGAATCGACATCTAATACCCCTTATATTCGATAAATGATTTGTATACTTACACAAAATGGGATCTTTAGACTTTTGAAATTTGGCGTGAAGTAAAAGCCTCATCGAAGAACCAATTCATAGCAGAAGCTTTGCCGATGTTGTGGAGTAAATTGATACAAAACATGTTTAGTTTTACTACTTCAAGTGTATATTCCAAGTTGTTTTTGTCCAAAATATACAGCTCAAAAACTTGAGACCACAAAACATAATTTGCAAAAGCAATCATTGCTTGTTTGTAGGCATTTGACTTGTAAACTCAAAACATGGTTGGCATCGAGGAGGAATCATTGCTTGCATAATTTGGTACTTGAGGAGGAAACGTTTGTTCTAGGCATTTGAGTCGTGGTGCAGACTTCTACTATCCCGCACTATTTCAGATAATTCCCATCACAGTTTCTAGTTTAAGTTTATACCAAAGTATTATTTTAAACAATGACCCTATGATTAATTCTTGCTCTGATACTATGATAAAGAAGACAACAAATAGCGAAAAAATAATTGACAGACTCAGTTAGGAAGCCATCTTTGCTATATATAAGTGATAAAAGCCAACTTTGCTCAAGACATGTTGTCTATTTTTTTTAAGAAAAAAAAAATCTATAGTGCAACAACAACTTGCATTTTTCTTTCAAGCACTTCCTTAAATCCTCAAGGGTGAAGAAGCTAATTTACAACACTAGTGGAGAAAGATACCTTCCTGGTAAACAAGTCATGCAACAAACACTACAATGTGGTGCTGGTGATGCACTCAATATTCCCAACCAGAATTGGCCTATTTCTTCCCCTATCTGGGGTATGGTTCAGTAATTGATGCCTCATTTACAGAGCTTGGAATTGAAATTCTTTCGGTATTAGATTGCTCAACTTCCAGCTCTTCCACAATGCTTTCCGATCCATGGCTCCGGAAAACTGCTGGACGATGTGGAGTTGGTAGGGTAACAGAGCTACTATTGAGCATATTGACCACGGAAACCATTGTAGGCCTTTTACTGACACATTCTTCAACACATAGTAAGCCTAATTGGACACATTGAATGACTTCATTTTTGGCAAAAGAATCTCCAATACTTGAATCCAGAAGAGCTAAAGGTTCGCCACGTCTCCAATGCTTCCAAACCTTTTTGAAATAATTCAACTTATAAGGAGTTCACACATAAAAACTTCAATTTGTTCAAATCCTTGACTGCAATTGTGCAAAACCACAGAAAAATAATAAAAACAGTAGTAGAGGTTTTGCAATTCGCACTTACATAACTTACGAGGTCTTCAGAATCTTCAGATTTTTGGAAACTACTATTCTTCTTGCCTGTAACAATTTCTAAAATAACAACCCCAAAACTGAATACATCTGACTTTATCGAAAACTGGCCCCGTCTCGTATATTCAGGAGCCATGTAACCGCTGCAAGCCACAATGATTGTTATAAACAGTACTAAGATAACCCCAATGAAATGGAAGTGTAGATAATTTTCAATAAAGATTCAAAGTCATATTATGTGACAAAAGATAGTATGGGCACAAAACTTACAATGTTCCAGCAATTCTATTTGTGTTTCCTTCAGATTGATCAACTCCACAAATCTTTGCCATGCCAAAATCTGCTATCTTTGGACTCATATTTCCATCCAATAATATATTGCTTACTTTGAGATCGCGATGAACAATTCTTAGACGAGAATCCTCATGCAGATAAAGAAGTCCTTTTGCTATACCTCCAATGATATTGTAACGTCTTGACCAGTTCAACGATCGTTTATTTTCTGGATCTACACAAATTTTAACACATTTGTGTTAGCATTGAGAATTACTAATTCAATAACTCCAGAAAGCATAATCAAATAGGTAAATTACACTTTTGTTTCTTAAACTATGGACACGATCCTACTTTAGTTCTTAAACTTCAATTTTGGGCAGTCAATCCTTGAAGTGTCCAATTGGTAATACTTTAATATAATTATTTATGAAATTGTCAAAGTAAATGGAATATTTTGTCCTACTTTGATTAATACTTGCCTAATATTCCATTAGTTTTGATGATTCTATTAGCGATTGTACTAAAGTGTTACAAATCTGATATTTTAGGGATAGAGTTTCTAAAATTAAAGTTTAAAAACTTAAAGTTAGAAAGCATCTATGGTTAAGGATCAAACAAGTGGAATTCACCCTAATCAAACATTTGTCTACTGGCAATTTGTTATCTGTCATTTCCATAACATGGTCAAATCAAGTGAAATAGAACAAGATCGCATGGAACAACAAAATTACCACAAGTATATCTAGTTTCGAACTCACCAAAGAGGAAGTAGTCAAGGCTTTTGTTGGGGACAAATTCATAGATGAGTATCTTTTCTTCTCCTTCCAAGCAAAATCCCAATAGTCGAACTAGATTCCTATGTTGAAGCTTTGCGACTACTAGAATTTCATTTTTAAATTCTTCTGCACCTTGCCCTGAGCTCCTTGATAGCCTCTTAACAGCTACTTCTTGTCCATTACCAAGTACACCCTGAGTGAACATGCATATTAGAATTTGATTAAAAGGTTAAACGTGTAGATATTCGAAGTCACAAAAGCAAATTAAATATTTCATGCAGAGACCTTGTATACACGACCAAATCCACCTTCGCCAATTTTGTTATCCACAGAGAAGTTATTTGTGGCAATTTGAATTTCAGTTAAGCTATACTGTAAAGATTCGGCCATTGAGATTTCAGCAACTCCATCTACACCAGAAATAAGCAAATGTACTTGTTTTATTTGTTCATACACCTCTGAAGTGCCCGCAATATTAATCAATAAACTTTACCAGTTGGTTTCAGGGCCATCTCAACATATCTCCTCCGCGATCTTCTTTGCAGGAAAACCAAAGCAATGATTAATAGCACAATAGCAACCCCAATCAGTGAGATAGCAATTAAAGCTGCTTGTGAGAGGCTTCGCCCTTTGCCTGGATGAAAGGAAGCTTAATTTAGCTTCTAAAGTCAGCTTATAGGAGATCAAGTTTGATGAACTTCGGGTTAGTGTCACTCCGAGATAGCCTATATATTACATAGAAGGAAAGCTATGCAAAAACACGTTATTCGAAAAAATACTCTTTCAAATATTCTTTTAAAAGTGTTTCACCAACTTTTTGTGACGGATACTTCATGTCGATGGTAAAAAAAAAAAAAAAATACTTTTTAACAATCACGTTTCAATAATAACGTACTAACTGTCGAGGAGGTCAAATTCTAGTGGTTAATGATTTTTTTCTAATTCTAATGATTAAAGTTGAGATTTCAAGATTTATAGATCTCTCATTTTCTCTCCTTGCTTTGGTGCTTCTTAAATCCTACCTTTCTTTTACAAGAAAAAAATAGAAATTCAAAAAGATCCCCCTTCTTGACTTCCTTTCTATTTCTTAAATCCCACCTTTCCGTTGCATAAAAAATAAAAATGAAAACCCTAACATACTAACTATTTTTGTTATGGTTAAATAAAATTAAACTCTCCTGTAGTTTCAAAAATCTAGAAACTTAGCTCTGTGTTTGGACCACTTGTAAATGAGGCTGTCAAGACCCAACCATTGGATATAATCAAATGACAAAAATGCCCCATTTTAAAAGATTGAAAATAGAAACCAGACGAATGGGACAGCAATTTTAGGCCCAAGAACTTCTAGTAAAATGAGCCGAAGATAATTAATTACTAAATTTAGAAAAGCAAGAAGTCAAATTACCAAAAAGGTGTTTTCTTCCAGAAAAAAAAAAAGAAAGTATCAAAATAGAACAAGATAAAGGGAAAAAGAGTAGAGAACAAATATTAAGATAATGAAAAGGAAGATGCACCATTACTAGAAGAAAGAAATATAAGATAACAAACCAACGGTGTGGAAAAAGTGAAATAAAACGAGGAAAGATGAATAAGAAGAAAGCGCCCTCTTCCTCTCAAACCTTATTTTTATTTTTATTCTTATTATTTATATTTTTTATTTAAACTCAAACAAGTAGACAGCAGAGCTCTTCGTTCACCATTGACTATATAAGAACTCCCATCGCCACTAGCACCCCTTGTTCCGACGTACTAACCCCATTTCAGGTCTATTACAACTGCCACCACGACCATTATTAGCACCACCTCATTTTAATGTATCTACTCGTATTCGATTCCCTTGAGATGTCGTATTACCAAGTCATTCTCTCCATTCTAACTTTTAGCTTGCTTCGTACTCATACATACATGCCCCATGCATAAATACATGCATACATGAAGGAAATTAAAAAAAAAAAATACAATCTAACGTTTTGTGATGAAATACAATCTAACCTTTCGACAAAAAAAAAATGAAGGAAATTAAACCAAGTTATCTTAGTATTGAGTTTTCTAATTCTTTTAGTTTCTTATGTTGGTGTCTTGTTTATTTAGTTTCCATATTAGTTTAGAAAATCTTAAGTCAATTTCAAATAAATTTCGGTTTGCAATTGTGTTTGTTTAATAAGTTTGGTAGTCTATAAATGCTACTAGTCTAGTACATTGTTATTTGAAGAGAGAGTTGAGTTGAGTTGAATCTTGAGAGTGGCTTTGAAGGAAAATCTCATAGTTGATATTTATGAGTTGTCATAAATGAAAGGTTATGACTTGATATTGTTATTAGTAGGTTTTGGGTTAATAAATTGTTAAGTATTTGTTTATTTATTCTTCTTTTTTTTCCACATATTTTTATATGTGTTAAAGAATGAAACGCAATGTAGATTTTGAAAACTTAATGTACAGCATAGTTTGATAGTCTAAAATTGTGCGCTAAACGGCTAAAGCCCAGTCAATGTTCAGATGGGTCGTGTTAATTAAAGTTTGCAACTTTCTGGAGATTGTACTCTAGAGGCCCTACGGTGACTAGTGAGGTAAATATTGCATCAGTTGAGTAATGTGATAAATTAATTGGTTAGATGGCAAGTCAAGTAGATGAGTTATTTGGTTAGTTTTTGCAGCTTGGACTCTAGAGGCCCTATGGTGACTAGTGAGGCAAATATTGCATCTATTGAGTAATGTGCTAAATTAATTAATCAAATGGCAAGTCAAGTAAATAAGTTAGTTAGCAAGTGACTCATCTAGAATCCTATTTATGTACTCCAGTGATTCTAGAATGATATACTTACCCAATAGCACCCATACCCCGTAACAATCAATCTGCACAATGACTACGTCCCTTGAGGTTTGAAAAAATGACTATCATCCTCTTTGATATGAAATTTGTATAACAAGCACTTCCTCACCATCAAAAATCTAGCATCCGTTTTCCTCCTGTCCATTAAGAATGTGTGTGGAAATATCAAATTGCCATTATTACTATTATATATACTATCAGTGTATACAGTATCATTATTAAATATATAACACGTGTCATTCATCCAATCGTGATAGTGTATACACTGGTAATATCTATAAGATTCACTCTTGTAGATATTGTAACATAGAATTTTCCCAGTTTTTATGTTTTATTCTTGTCCTTTGAGGAATTCTAACAAAAAGAGCTACTGCCAAGAAAAATCATAAAATTCATGGAACATCGATCTCTTCATCACCACCATTTCTTATCTCCACCGCCTCCAAATCCCCAAATCCAAAACCTACGGCCATTCTTTTTTTTTTTTTTTTGTAAAAATAATAGGATTGTATTTCTTGGTCAAAAGTACATACAAGCGAACACAAACTCGATTCTTTACAATGTCCATTTAACATAGTAGATTGGCCATTCAGATCATTAAAAGATGAGAGACACAAGAATCCCATTGAGAAGAATTGCATAAACCCTTCAGCAGCCATATGATTCATTGGCATATAATATATCACCCTTCTTGCCCATAAAATTGCTAGGAAGTACTATCACATAACACGACTGTCCACCTTAAGTCTCTCTTCTCCATCTAGAACATCAAAGACAATGGTGGAACTTTATAGCGCAATTCTTATTGAGGAATTTGTGCTTACATTGTTCATAAGGAGATAGATGACTTGGATATTTGGATACTTGGGTTTATGATGATATTCGAGTATAATGATTTGGAGGTTTGCGGATTTGGCTATCTGGGTTTGTGATTTAGAGTTTAATTGTGGATCACTCGGCTCATTTTTTGATGTTTGATAGCTAATTGGAGACGGCAAGGGTGGCTGCTGTGAATTAAGTTAGGGTTTTGGAAGCAAGAAAAGTGTGCATTTGATTGATTTTTTCCTTCTTATCCTGATTTTTAACTTGGAATTTTGGGGTGGGTTTGGTGATCCCAAGGGATGAGGAGCTAGTGATGGTGGACGTTGGAAGTCGGGGCTCAAGGATTTAATGGGTAGACTAGCGTTTGGTGGAGATTGGTGGTGGCACCGAGTAGAAAGGGTTTCTTGCTGGCACTGAGGGAGGTTGTTGGTAGGACTTCTTCTGGAATAGGGCTTTTAATGAGATTGAGGATTGCTATGATATAACGTGATCTGGTGAAAGATGCCAAAAATGGAATCGCATAACATTTGCCATTTTTCCCTTTTTTTTTTGTAAAAATGGATTATGGTGTTTCTTTTTATATTTAATGTTTTAGTTGTCATGATTTTTTAGGGTAAATTATTTATAATTCTCTTGTGATTTTACATAATGTTAGATGACCCCCCTTAAGGTTTCAAAATAGACACGTACCGTATGGTTTTATATAAAGGAAAAAATGAACAGAGTTCACCATCTGTTACACCTTTTGATACTAATCATGCTCTAAAAGTATGTGTGATAAAATCTTAATCTTCATGTAAGCTCCTTATGGTTTGTACAAATATCTATTTTATCCTCCTATGATTTTTGCATTTATCTAAGTAATCCCCCTATACTTTTATATAAGATAGTTAAGCTATCAATTGATTTAATATTTAAGTTAGGTTACCATTAGTATTTCAATTAACGACATTATATAAGCTACTTTCCACATTATATAAAATTATTATGAGATGAAACGGGCATTTTAAAATATTAGGAGAGTCATGTGGCAATAAACAAAATCACAAGGAGGTTATATATAATTTACCCTATTTTTCATTTGTTTAGTTTAAGGCATTTTAGTCCCAAAATGACGTATTTAACATCGTATGGCATCGATTCAGACAAAGACGATGATTGCTTTTTTCTAGGGGTGGAGCTGATTCAAGCTACTCGACTCGAGCTCGATATGTACTCGATCAGAAGCTCAAGCTCGAACTCGCTTCATTGAGCTCGAGCTGCTCGTTAGAGCTATCAAGTCGAGCTCGAGCTTAGAAATTTGATACTCGAGAGCTCGACGAGCTCTATCGAGTATCACATAAAAAAATTAAAAAAAAAATTATATATAAAATTACTAATATAGGTAAATAAATTCTGAGAAATTACCGGTGAGTACCCTTATCGAGTCGAGCTCGAGCTTTTTAAGGACTCGATCGAGCTCGAGCTCGAGCTCGAGCTGTGATTCTCCAATTCGATCGAGCTCGAGCTCGAGTATAAGTATATTATAGCCGAGTCGAGCTCGAGTATAGCGGTACTCGAGCTCGACTCGGCTCGAATACACCCCTACTTTTTTCTAACCTCACAGGGGGTGTAGTTGTTACTTGGTCAAACTACAAGGGGTGTACATGTAATTAACCCGTTGTAAATAGGACAATGTTCATACATTGACTGGTATTTCGGGACACTTGGCATGTCTTTTTGTTGACCAGGCAAGTTTAAGCTGTTAGTGGAGATTAATCGGTACGAACGGAAGGGGTTTCTTGTCATAAGGTTTATCAGCACACAGGATTGTTTAGTACTGTGGTCAAACTTTAAAATCTAATTTGTAATTTGGCCAAATGTCATGGGAGATAAACGCACGAAAAATCTTCCGTACTACCTTCTATTTCATTCGCTGTCTTATGTTTCGTTATATTGTCATGTATCCTTTATGAATATCCTACTTTAATCCTTTTTTTTCTTAGAATTCCAGCAACCACCAACAATGTAAAAAAATTGTAATTGACTAAAAAGCCAAAATTTAATTAAAAATTACATTTTATGAATTTTCTAATATATTTTTGTTTCTCTAGCAAATATTGGTTTTTAGTTGATATATTTTGATTTTTCATTAACCTATTAATCATCATTGGAACTCAAGAAAAATAAAAGGATTAAAATAGAATGGTGACGAATGGTACATAGCAATACAATAAAAGGTGAGGCAGAAGTTGAATAAGAAGTAGGAAAAAAGATCAATTGCGAGATAAATGTAATTAATCATTTGATTAGTGTGAATTTTAATAATTACTTTCACTATCGATGATTTAGTGCTTCACCCTCATGATCTCCTTATGCTTTTGAAAATATATCAGATTACTCCCTCTTATGCTTTCTAGTTAAGTAGATTGCTTTTTTATTGGGTTAAGCCAAGTTGAAAGAGGATAATATGGTATTTGATTGATTTCATTGCTAACATTTGTTTTGTATATTTCTTCTTTATCAATTTTTATTTTGGACCTTTAACTATAAACACACTTTCACTTTAGTCCTTAAATTTAAATTTTGGAAGCTTTATTTCCTAAAATATGAAATTTATCCCACTATAATCCTTAAAGATTATTTTTGGCCTTGACAACTAGATTTGCCACAACACAGAAGAACTTAATGGCTCGACCTTACAATATCACGTGCAACTAAAGTAAGGTAAAATTGCAATTTGAAACCACAAGGCATTGCAAGGTAAAACGTTACACCAGAGAGAGGTAAAATTAATTTATCTATGTCAATATCAGATTTCAAAGTAGCCAAAAAAATATTGCACTATAAACAAAATCTTTTACATTCATAAAATACATCCTCGATATTCTTCAATGTCTTTGTCTAAATTTGGGAAAATTAAAATGGATTCTTTTTTTTTTAACTTTTTTTAGCAGAGAAGGAGTGAAATTTGAAAAGTAGGGAGGGAGAAGGAGAATTTAATCCCAGGACTTCGATGTCACGAGGTTTTAACCTTAACCACTAGATCAAAATCATTAAAAAAAAAGTTAGAATAATAATTTCATTTTGAAAAAATTTGCAAATAAATACTATCCACATTATACATCATTAACCATTTTAATTATACACAACATTTAAATTTAGATTAACAAACTTTTGCTGTTTGATTAATCGTTAGAAAATTTTCCGTGATGTTAAAGTCTTGTATACTATTTAAATGTTTCTTGCAAATTGAATGCAAAAACTTTCTCAAATAGACTCTCTTTATGTATGTTGATCAACCAATCAAAACATAATAATAACACAATAATATGAGTTTTAAAACCATATATTAAATAACCGGCTAAATAACCAAAGAAAAACGTAACGGAGAGAAGCCCAACCCATTTTTGCACACAAAACCATCATACCTAAGGGGATTCTACAATGGCCACCATACTGTTATTTCAAAATATATTCAATTGTTAATTACTGTCTAAATGGCTGCAAGAAGGCTAAATATGTACACAATTACTGTCCTAAGAATTATGAGTCCACTTAAAATTTTTCCATAAATGACAAACGATGGTGAATGTGACTAGTATGACATGATTATGCTGAAATTAATCTTAATATCACGTATTCAACTATTGTATTAAGGTACATGGTGGTCTCCTTTAGGTGTAAATTTTCATTTGAGAATGAATCCACGGCTCTTATCCTCTATCCACATATTGTACAAACTTCAATACCATTATTTCCAATTTTAAATGCTTAAATATATATGGATTTAACAGAAGGTGTGTGGATTTAGTCCTTTTCATTGTCGACCTAGAATTTATTACATGCAAGAAATCGTAAGAATCAAGCTTGCATTCAACACCAAAAATATATGGCCATAGCAAGGCTCCAGAACTTACCTTTGGTGGAACTGGGAGGAGGACCCCCCGGAGAGTTTGGCGGCGGAGGCGATGGTGGAGAGGATACCGTATTATAGAAGCGGTAGAGCTCGTACCTAATATTACAGATTGGAAAGACTATCCTTCCTCCTCTAGTAACATTACCTGTGATGGGGATATTCACGACACCTAGCTGCCCAATAGCTTTGTTGAGGCATTTTTTGCATTCATCACCAGATAGATCTGGTGTGCACTGCACAAGGGTATACAATCTACCCGAGGAACAGTCGTCATCTTGAACTGCAACCTTTTTGCCCCGTGTACTATTTGCTGCCTGATCTACAGCGTTATAGACCAGTTTTCCCAATACCATTATGAAGTTGTTCCGGTCCGGTTCAGAGATGTTGTGTGGATTCCGCATAATCAAAAAGAAATCAAGCCTATCAACGTCGGGGAAGATTGGCTGGTTAGAAAAATATAACAAGCACTCATCATACAAAACCCAAGCAACCTTTTGATTCAGGCAATCCTTAAATACTTTTATGCTGGCATTTGCTACACATTCTTCACAAACATCAGTGTTCACATCGCCTCGACAGAGAAAGAGGCCATAGACCGTGTTAGAAGGGTCGTCGCCGGTACTAATCTTGTAGAAACCGTCGTTGTCTGTCCGGGAAGCATTCGAAGATAGAGTGTTAAGCGTGAAATTCAGATGGGTTCCGTAAATGCTACCGGTAGTACTGTTTGGATTGTATGTAGTACTAGGATCACAGAAAGACTCCTGGAAAGTGACGGGGCTAGTGAGTGTGGCACGGAAGCTAAGCAAACAAAGCATGTAACATTGCAGGTGGAACAACAAATTTCTGGAGATCATTTCGAAGGCAGGCACCAAAAGACTAAAAGGCTAGCAATCCACAATAGATTGGCAAATTAGGAGCCATATTAAGCTTTGGTTGAGAAGCATGAAAGTTGTACCTTGTACCGGCAAGGAAAACGTGTAGTCTGGAAGACTTGACTTTAGCAAGTCGGTCAACCAAGTGCTCCTAAGATCGTAGGTGGTGTGTACACTGTAATGCGCTAGATTACTCAAGGGTATGCTGGGTCTGGCACGGTACCTAAGCAAACAATGGATGTAATATTGGAAATGGAGCAACAAATTTCTGGAGAACAATTCAATGGCAGGCAACAAAAGACTAGAAAGTAAAAAGCTGCAAAATATCAGATTGGTCTATTTGAGAGCCAAAGTTTTGAACTAGTGGTGTTATGGTCTAACTACAGAGCCTAAAATTAGTGGTGTTATGATCCCGGCTACACAAGAAAATGCAAGGAACTAATCGATGTACAGGGCACATTGCCATGTTTGACGGAGGCCATCTCTAGAATCTAGAGACGGTAAATGTCACGTTGAACGGGGCCACTCATAGAATTCGTGCATGATTAAGTGAACAGTTTGAATTGTAACATCCTTTTGTGAGGCCGGGTGCAAAGTCCGAAAGATAGGATGAGTGGAATGCCCCACTTCCGATATCAAAAATGGAGGAAAGGAACAAATGAAATATAACATCCGGTCCGTTGGTTACTAATAACTTTCAATTAACCATTCTAAGCCTGTAGTTGTTGAGATGGCTCTAAAGAACAACGCAACGTCATTGTAGAGCTGGGGCATTACACCAACAATATTAAACAACGTCATTGTGGAGATAATTGGAATTTGAGTAATGCTCTAAAGAGTAAAGTGGACAATATTAAACAACGTCATTTTATGATTCTAGAATTAATTCCGATCAGGACGCTTCAGCTTTCAGTCTCTCTCTCTCTCTCTCTCTCTCTCTCTCTCTATAATGCCCAAAAAAAACAAAAAGAGCACAGATATATCATCATCTATGCGCTGTCACAATTTTTTACTGATAGGGTAATTCTGTGGCCGGGGGAATATCACCATTCAGTCCCTCTCACAACACTAGCAGTAGCGGTGCAATTTACTGCCTTGACAGTCCATTTTATCCTGTCACCATGGATCCCAGCTGTAATCTTCTTTCTTAGCTACACTGCTATCGCTATTGGTAGGATAGGATAGACACTAACTAGAAGAGCAGAGCAGCGACAAAACTTTCCTCTACTTTTTCACCGTCTTGCTTTCAGTTCCCCCACCTTTGATTATTCTTTCCAGATTTCCGGGCTGCTTAATAATCATTACCACTGCCCACAGTTATCAAACTCAAAATGGCCAAAAATTTCAAAACAAAAAAAAAAATATCCACAAAACTAGTAAAGTGATATCCGAGCATGCATACAAAAAGCTTAAGATTGATTGAAATTTTAAAATTAGGTTTTTTTTTTCTCTTTTTTTGGGGTGCTTCACATTTTCTGTCCCATGTTTTCTGTTCCTAAACTGCCGGAGCTATAATTGGATCTCTACTTAGTAGTTCAACACTACCAAGTAGTCGGTCAACGAAGTGCCTGGACGGGAACCATCAGCTGAATGGTCTGTAACCAGAATCCTATACGTCTTTTATGGATTTTCACGGGAGTGGAAAATTCGAGGTTGCTGACAATATTGAGCCGTTCAACACTACTGGGTTTTAACTTTGGATTATTCTTTCTAAACATTGTCAGTGTAAATCCATCTCACACTAATAAGATGCATGACACGTAAATTTTATTCAAATTTTAAATTCATTTTTAACAAATATAGCATGCACCTAAATAACAAAAAAAAAAATCTTTATGCTGATGGTGTAGAAATATCCAGCCATTTCGCCACAATAGACAGCCAATTTTATGTCCGCCGCTGCTTTTCAAATCAAGTTTGATGGCCAGTTAATTTTCTAACATATTTATTTACAATGTTGCCTGCTGCATTAGTAAGATATATTTATTTACAATGAGCCATCGGATGGCTAGTCTGTAACAAAAACTTCTATACGTCATTAAAGTATTTTGCCGGAAGTGGAAATTTGAGGATGCTAACAACATCAAAACAACGTTATTGTGGAGGATAATTATAATTCTACTAATGCTCTAAAGAATAAATTCGACCCAAATTTAAATAAAAAAAAAAAAAAAAGTTGACCCAAATTGAATCTCTATATTGTAGTTCAACACTGGTTTTAAGAAAGAGTTCTCTAAATATAGTTCAAAGGGGAAATGATACAGAGCCTCGTGGAAATTTGATGGAAAAATAACCTCTAAAATATATTTATTTGAAATACCAGTATTACCTTTATTTAAACATTGATTCAAACAATGACCAGACCATCTTACATAAAATTATAGGAGAATTATGTAGATAAATGCAAAATCTATAGAGGATTAAAATGGATATTCATACAAATCATACAGGACATTAAGTATACATAATTATTTCGTCACATGCATTTTTTGAGCACTTCTGTTCAATCACTATAGCCATTGATATTTTCTGTCTATTTATCATATCCCATGAAATTATAGGGCGTTATGAGTTGTCGCGCCCCATTTTTCGCGATGGAAAAAGAAAGTGTTTATAAAAAGATGTGATTTATTAATAATAAATGAAAAAGAACCTAGAATGGGACTTAAAAGAATGCGACAATTTGGGTCCAAAATTTAGTCTAAAAGGGTTTTTAAGAAAAAATAGGAGTCGCCACTTGGTATTGAATTTGGGTGTACCAAGTCACCCCAAAAATATATTTTTTGATGAAAATAAGATTAAATAAAAATTCTTTTGACAACTCCAGATCTTCGAAAAAAAAACAAGAGAAAATGGGTTCAGGAGTCACGATTGAAGAAAGGGAAGGCAAATGTTCGATTAAATCAAACCTAAGGCACCCTTTCAACCTAGTCTAAGCTAGTTGCAAGATTTAGTCAAAATTTTCCTAATCTAACCCTTAATTTTATCTTATTTGGATGTTTCCTATATGGATGCAAATCTAAATTTATAGAGTATCAAAAGGGTCAAAATATCCATTCAAGGGTTTAATCGAACCAATCGCATTAATTGCGAAAACCAAAATGATTCCTTGAAAGTGTCACGAGTATGCGAATGATGAAATGAAAATAAAAGAAAATAAATTAAATTATATACATATATATAAGTGATCAAAGAAAAAGGGAATGCAACATAAAGGGTACGGGAGGCAAAAACTCGTGACATAATTTTCTTACACATGGATTGATAGGGTATTTAAACTAAAAAGTTATAATCACTCATTTCCCATGTTTGAAAATAATTATCCTAACATGAACAAGCAAATGAACTAGCTTAAATGAGATGCAATTCTAAATGACATGATTAGCACCTATAGAGGGTAGGGGATAATATAGTAGGGATTATCATACGAATGAGAAAAGATCCTAAAAATGAAAATATGCATGAAAATGTAGTGAATAACACACAAAAATGAATCTAGCGCAAGACGACCTAAAGGGTCTAGCGTTGGACTAGCCCATTTCTAAAAATCCTTACTAGCATTGGACTAGCAAGTAAGCGGAGGGAAAAGCCACAACTAGCGTTGGACTAGTGTGGTGACGTCATGCATTAACAATTCATAGTGAAACAAATAAACACATAAATTAAAACAAATAAACACATAAGAGCACGTAGCACATAACACGTAAACATAATATCTAGATGCCAAAATCCTAAGAAAAGCGGATAAAACACATAACACATAAGCCACATAAACACGCAACCTATCTATTACATCGGGGAGCGCCTAACTACAATTCTAAAAGGGAAAAATATAATAAAACAAATTTAATTATCCTATCTATTACATTTTTTAGGTATTTAAATGCCTCTCAAATAATTATAAAATTAACTAAACAAACATAAAAAAATTTTAAATGAACATTCAAATCAAATAAACAAAGCATATAAAAATATATAAACACATAGGAGCACATAGGAGCACGTAATTGACATTGAAATAATAATAGGGGTACCTCTCTTTTGAAGTGGTGACTAAATGGAGTCAAATTGCCCTATTTGTATTCAAAATGAACAAAAGAATCATGGCACCAATTTAATTGAAAAAAAGTAATAATAATAATGAAAATTCACCTTAATATGTCAAACGTAAATAAATTTAAGAATATCTAAAAATTATAAGTTAAACATACTCAAAAGTAACATAATTAGCTATTAAAGAAAAGAAACAATCGTAATAAAGAGAGTCAAAATTCATCAGAGACTGAATTGCAAAAATGAAAAAAAACTTTTGGGGATAAAAATTATATTTTTCTAAAGTTTAGAGGTCAAAATTAATTAAAAGATAAAATTCAGGGACCAAAGTGCAATTAATTTAAGGACCTACATGCAAGCAATTTAAAATGATCTGGGCCGCAGTGAAACTACTCCAAAGATCAGGGGCTAAAGTGCAAGTTCGTTTCTGATTTGGGCAAGAAAAAGGCCATAGGGCCATCATTTTATTTATTTCTGGGCCAAAAACTACCTAAGCCCAACCGAGATCCAAAAGGAACGAGCAGGCCAGCCCGTCTTTTTATCTCTCAAGCCCAACGGAAACCCAAAAGAGATCAACCAAAACCCATTTTTAAAACCCAACCAAAACTAACTCTTGGCCCAACCGAAATAAAAACATTAGCCCAAATCATTTGTTTTTCTTCTTTTCTTCTTTTTTTTTTCTTTTCTTTCTTTCTTCTTCCTCCACCTTCAGCCGTTTCTTTTTCCTTCTTCTTCAGCCAGCTGAGGAAGCTTCAGCTGGCGGGCATGGCGGCCGCAGGTGGCGCCACCGCCACCGGCGGACCGTCGCCGGCCACCGGCGACTTTTCCGGTCGCCAAAATTTCTCAAAATACACCTCCCCACTCCATTTTTCGCGTAGGTTTCATTTCCGGGCTTAGTTTTAACAAAAATTGACCCTAAAGTGGTCAAAATAGCAAAAGACAGCCCAGTTTTATTTTTTTTCAAATCACCGTATCTTTCACCAAAAATCATAAAAATTATAGTACAACACTCCTTATGATTCCTACAATACAACTATGATTTTGATTTGACAAGAAAACAACATAAAAAGGCTAAATTAAAGCAAAACAGCCCCTAAATTTCATTTTTCTTTTGTTGCATTTTCACAAACACTTGACATGCATTCATGGGCCCGTTTCTTTTTTTCTTAGTTCTGTGCATGACTTGTCCCAAAAACTCAGCAACCCAACAACCAAAGAAACCAGCAAAAGCAAAAGAAAATTAAACAATGAAGCATGGATTTAATGTGCTAAACAAAACTAAAAATTACCTCAATGTAGGTGGCAATTCCCTTGGTTGAAGTTTCTGATGCAATTTCCAAGCCTTGACCGATAGCTGCCTTTTCCCTTTTTTGTGTTTGGATTTTGTGGAAGAAAATGTGTAGAAGGAGCCCCTTTTTTTTTTTTGTTCCTCTTGTCTGATGAGGGAGAGAGCCGAGAGAGAGGAAATTGAGCCAAAAAGGTGGAGTCTTTTTTTTTTCCTCCTCTTTTTCAAGAGAGAGCCGAGAGGGACTTGTAGCAAAAATGGAGCTTGTGTGCTGAATCTTCCAAAATGATGATTTCTCAATTAATGAAAAGATCAGTCCATGGACATTGAGTGTGAAATGGGTTAATAGTTAATTTGGTGAAGCAAAATGATCAAAATGATTTTTTGATTTTTTTTGTTTTGTTTTTTTTTTTCTTTTCGTAAAGCAAACCTGCAAAAATGAGAAAATGCATATTAAAATGCAAGAAAATAAATAATTTATTAAATAGAAAAATCTTAATAAAATATTAAAAATTGACAAAAATTTGGTGTCTACAGGGGATATTTTGAAATCTAAGGGGAATCATGTGCCAATGAAAAACCAAGGGAGGTTATGTGTAATTTACGACAAGATCATGTAAAGTCTGTCACATTTTAATTGGACTAAAACTTTCCATATCAAGGATAAGATCAAGGATGTGTCGAACTCAATCAGGGCTAGCTAAATACGACAGACGGACCCATATTAAGACTGTTGTGGATGATTTCTCTAGTGATTTGGGTAAAGATTTTGAAAGGATTAAAACGGCGATTGAAGAGTTCACATTTGTATATTTTTCTAACTTCGAAGACAACACCAAATAAAAAATACAAAAAAAAAAGTAATTTTGGCAAATGTAGAGCTAAATCTATGATTTGCAGGCTCCAATTGAGGGAGAGAAGAGAAAAGGAAAAATGGAAAAAAAAAAAAAGAGAGAAGAAATGGAGAGAGACAGAGAGAGTCAGAGAGAGAGAGAGAGAGAAATTGGCTTAAACCTGCCTTAGTTATAGTCGCTTTTACTTTTGCCCTGACTGTTTGTTAAAAGAGTTTTTGGTTAGTATATATGGATCATGTGATTATTTTCAGGCCATAAGTGGTTGAAATTAGTGATTTCGATCATATTAGACCTTTTATACTTTTATGAGGAAAGTAAAATCAGCATTTTAAATTTAAGGAACGACAAAATTCCACTGGCGAATTCGAAGGTATATTTTGGATGATTTTCCTTCTATATATAAAACATGAGGCATGGTTTTAGTGTTAAAATTTTTTATCATCTTTTATTTTTCCAAAAGTAAAGATTTACTATAGATAACTACTAAAATTCAATAACTTCCAATAATTTCTGATAATTTCTTTTTTATCTGTTATTTCTTTGGCAAAAAAAAATAATAATCATACTTCTTTTGTATTTTTGTTTGCAACAAAAAATATAAAAGTTATAATAACTTCCACTAGCATTAATAAATATAACTTAATTTTTTATTAATTTGCACACCATACGGCATGATTTTTCCATTGATCTTTCTGTATATAAAGCATGAGCCATGCAGGGGTGGAGCTAGAAAAAAATTCAATGGGGGCAAATTTAAAATGTTAAATTATGCTACTTTCAAATTTTAAATCCCTATCAAAATTCTTAATAAAGTTTTATCTATTTGTGAAGGTGAAATAACAAGAGAGCTAGCAATTTTTACAAATTTATGTGTGTTGAGAAAAAAAAAAAAAAAGACAGCAACTTTTCGAATGGATTTGTATGGTGAGAGCAAATTGGACAAGAGTGAGAAGAAGAATAAAGATAAAGTTGAATCTTTGGTGATTGGTTTTTATTTATATGTGAGAGGTGAAATGAGTTATTTATTATTTTTAATCAATCCTCTTGGAGTAGACAAAGTGATAAAAAAAGAATAATATTACTTAAATATGTTTTAAAAAAAACTAAAATCTTGTTAAAAAGCAGTGGGGCAATATTCTCTAATTATAGGGGTAAAGGTATGAACTTGTATGTGTCAAATTCGAACCAGTGTTTGCAACATCTTCGAGCACCATAAAACTAAGCCTCAACCCCTATTAGATTATACTACAGCCCACACCATCCCATCACTTATCTCAATATTAGGGATTCATTCGATCAGCAATCTTACCCTTCAATTGTCAATCATAAAGGGCCGACACTAAATTCTAGAGATGGCAAAATGGGCAAATTGATGGGTATAAATGAAATTAGATTCGTATCAAACCCAATCTCAAAACTAGAAAATCCATCCTGTCTAAAGGATGGGTAACCCATTGAAATTTGGGACAGATTGCTATCACCACTAAATCCTAACTCAAGGGTTCAACCGATCAAACTATGGAGACTACATCACTAAGGAATTCGCAAATCCAGACTACAAGGGAGCTCTCCATAAGTGCTGTGCTCTAGCTGACGAACAAGGCTGTTGGCTAAACACATTTTTCATAGTGGCCATTTGACTTGAAGATCCTAAATCATATCTTGGATAAATAGACACTTAACATATCCAAAATCATGCATTAGATTCAAGATTGAGCCGCTAAAATTCTTTAACAACTAACCTTCGATTCCAAAAGAATTATTTCCCACATTGGTTCGAAAACTAGAGAAAGAGTCCTTAATATGTAAGTGAGGACCCAAAACCTAATAATTTAAACTTTCTAGTCAATGATGGATTCCTGACTTAATTACATACTGGGTCTTTTTGGTGAACTCTCCCTGGTGTTTCCCCGAATCTTCTAATTGCGAGATTGGACTACTCATAGGCAAGTGAATTTTTCTCAGAGTTGGATCAGAGAACATCTCTTCTTGGTGGTGGGCTAAAGTGCCAAGGAGATTGGCTAGTGTTGGACTAAATATGTCATGGGTTGGCAGGAGCTTGGAACCCAATTTGGATATTGAAAGAAAAGTGGGTCTATGATTGAGAGAGAGATGACCTTGGACGTTAATGTGGGTTTGCATTGAGATTTGAAGTGTGCTTGAAGAAGAGCTTATCTTGTTGGTGATAGACTGAAGTGCCAAGAAGTTTAGCTACTGTTAGACCGAGTATGCCATGGATTGGCCGGGTTTGAAATCCAGTTTGGATGTTGAAGAATATTGGATCTATGATTGGTAGAGGAAATGACATAGATGTTATGGTGGAATTGCGTTGAGTATTAAAGTATCTTGAAAAAGAACTTGTTACTCATGAAGAGGGAGATTATTAGACTAATGAATAAAGAATTATGTTTCACGTTAGTTTGAGAAAGAGAGAAAGAGTCCTTAATATGTAAATGAGGGCCTGAAACCCAGCGGTTTAACCTTTTTCATCAATGTTAGGTTCTTAACTTACATATTTGGTCTTTTTAGCAGGCTCACTTGAGTGTTTCTCCCTAACAAGTTTGTTGTGATTCAACTGCTGAACAAACATGTTTCAAAGTATACAACAATTTAATGACAAATAATGAAAAATGTTTATCCCTAACAAGTTTGTTGTGATCTAGCCGCAAAATAAACGTCTCAAAGTGTACAACAATTTAATGACAAATAAACTACAAACATGAAAATAAACGAGACACAAGATTTTTGTGAGATCATAATAACTTGAACCTAAATCCAACCCTTGTATAATTTTTCTTATCTCTTGAGTGTTTCTCCCTAACAAGTTTGTTGTGGTTCAACTGTGAAACAAACATGTTTCAAATTATACAACAATTTAATGACAAATGAGGAAAAGTGTTTCTCCCTAACAATTTTGTTTTGATCCAGCTGCGAAACAAACATGTCTCAAAGTCTATAACAATTTAATGACAAATAAACTACAAATATGAAAATAAATGAGACAAAAGATTATTATGAGATTACAACAATTTGAACCTAAACCTAACCCGTATATAATTTTTCTCACCTCCCAAGAGCTTTCTCTCACCTCATGTATAAGGCTACATAATGCCAACAATACCTTCTCCGGTGGACTCTCCGATGGGCAAGGGAAATAGGAAAATTGCAATGTGACTAGCTTGAGGGAAGATAAGAAGTCTCCAGGCATCAATTTGGTTCCTTCACGGTTGTCGGCAGCCTCATCTGAATAATCCTGTTAGGTGAAGTTCTGAAAAAAAAAGAAAAAAAAATGCCATAGTCGGTTTGGCAGCAGATGCATGAACTTCCACTCCAGTCTGGACCGATAAAGCTACATACAGAATCTGTTTTATCTTTTGAAAGATTCAAGGACGCCATTTTTGTTTATCACTGCTGTAGCATCTTTCTACACTTGATGCCACAATAATCAATTTCTGAGACTCCATTGCATTACCTTTTGAGTTCTCAAATGATGCGCCTATTTGGTTTAGGGGGAATACAGGTGAAAATTCAATTTTCTTGTTACCAAATACATTGAATTATTATTGAAGCCTACAGTCAATTGCATCTAAGAAGCCCTTGCCTTTTCCCCATTAACTTAGAATTATCAAATTCTATCTTCCAACTAACAAGGGAACCAACCAACCAATTCAAGTTCTAATCCAACATCCAAGTGATCTTAGCTAGTTTCAGTTCTGGTTTTGAAAAATCGGAAGTATGGACCAGAAAAGAAGTGGAAGTAGGAAATTATTGGACGGTAAAGAAGATAGAATCAGTGAACTTCCCGAAAGTGTTTTGAGTCGCATCCTATCCCGTTTACCAATAGAGGATGCTGTTAGAACTAGTGTTGATAAATGGGAGTACAAATGGACTTCCATTTACAACTTAACCTTTGATGAAGGAAAGAGTTTTCGATACTCGCACAAGTGAGGCAAATGGAAGCGCAGAAGGAGCCTAAAAAGACAGATTTTATGGACTTTGTGGACAGAGTGCTTCCTCTTTCTAAGAATTCATCTATCAAAGAGTGTCACCTCTTGTTTCTAGATGCCTATGATCCATTCCGTTTGAAAACTTGGATCACCGCTGCTCTAAGAGCTAATGTCCCGAGGCTTTGTATTTCATACGAAGGGAACTTAGTATTTCCCCGTTGGTTTTTCACATTTGATTCTCTGACGAGATTGAAACTCAAACTCTGCAAGTTTAAAATTCCAATGACCATATGTAATTCAAACCATCGAACTTTGGATATCCATGATATTGAATTCCAGAACGCTGACCCTTCTAGCCATATTTCTTACCTACTCTGTCATTGAAGAGTTTCTGTCATCAGATTGCTAATGGAGGAATGTGAATAAGCTTAAAACACAGACACCAATGCTTGCTAGGTTCGAGATGACAGGCTCCATCT